TTTTTTTTTTTTTTTTTTTTTTCCCTCGGGCATGTTGATTTCAGCCTTGAAACCTGCAGGGGGTTCAATCCTTTGAGTTGTGTAGAGCCCCTGTTTCCATTATGCTGGAGCTAACATCTATGGTATTTTTTTCGCGTCTTCCATTAAGTAAATTTGTTAAATGGAGTTCGAATTTAGATTTCATCTTTGTTAGGAATTTACTCTCCACAATGGTATGATATTGGAGTACTTAAACAAAGTATACGCTTTGTTCGAAAAAAATAAGCTCACAACTTCTTTGTTCGACATGGCTAAGTCAAGGGCATATAGCTCTGATACCATGATATCAACTTTCTACCATGGTGTGATATTGTCCACTTTGACCATAAGTTCTTAAGGCTTTTGTTTAGGCTCTCCAAAAGGCCTTGTACCAATTGAGATCTTATAAATTCATGATCATTCTCTAAATTAGCTAATATGGAACTCACTCCTAACAATCCTCAACATCTTTAGCGTAGCGTATGCATTAGCAAGGACCATGACATATTTGTTGCCATTTAACTTCATAGCACTGGTACTGAGGCTCCTTGATGATAACTGTAATTTTGGTGCCTATTATCGATGTGCGCATAAGCACTAACAAATGGCATTAAATATATCTTCCAATATTTTACTTCCACCAGTTTGCTGATTGAGATTTCTGTATGATCTTATTACATTTGGTATCACAGAGCTTCTATGATTTTCTGGGTTTGCAGCTCAAGGGGTCTTAAGCCATTATTTCTTGCTTTAATCCTTGGGCTGTCAAGTGTTGCTCAAGATTGCCGATGCTTTCTTGTGGGTTATGGTGTACATTAGGACAGGAAGATTCATCTCATAAGTTTATAACTTGAACATCGCTCGATCGATCGTTCTTATTTTGAAGCGTGTGTTCTTCAATGAACATTGCATTGTTAGGAATCACGACTCTCCACAATGGTATGATATTGTCCACTTTGAGCATAAGCTCTCATGGCTTTGCTTTGGGCTTCCCCAAAAGGCCTCATACCAATGAAGATAGTATTCCTCACTTATAAACCCATGATCTTCCACTAAATTAACCAATGTGGGACACTCCCAATCCCAATAATCCTCAACAATCCTCCCCTCGAACAAAGCACACTATAAGCCTCCCCTGAGGCTTATGGAGCTCTCGAATAGCCTCCCCTTAATTGAGGCTCGACTCCTTCTCTGGAGCCCTCGAACAAAGTACACCATTTGTTCGACACTTTAGTCACTTTTGACTACACCTTCGAGGCTCGCCATTCTTTGTTCGATATTTGAGGATTCTATTGGCATGGTTAGGTTTAGGGCATGGCTCTGATACCATGTTAGGAATCACGACTCTCCACAATGGTATGATATTGTCCACTTTGAGCATAAGCTCTCATGGCTTTGCTTTGGGCTTCCCCAAAAGGCCTCATACCAATGAAGATAGTATTCCTCACTTATAAACCCATGATCTTCCACTAAATTAACCAATGTGGGACACTCCCAATCCCAATAATCCTCAACATGCATCATATTGGATTTAGGGGATGAATATAGTTTTTGTGTTTGAAAAATAAATGAGGCTTCTTAAACAGCAGAAATCAATGAGATTTGTATATTTAGTTCCACACAGTTCCGTGTTTGTATTTGTTGAATTTAATATGTGCAGAGGAGGAGCCATGTGAGGTCTTATTATAAGGTGAAATAAATGTGGTACCTTTTAATTATTATTATTATTGTGTTATAATTAATTAAGAAATAAAATGTTATTTATGTGGCCAAAATTTTGCTTTGGTGGTTCCCCAGTTATCAACACAGCCTGGCTTCTATCATCCTTATTTAATGTGGGGTTGAAATTTGAAATTATTGTTTATCTGCTTAGTAGTAATTTAAGTAAATTTTAATGTCTGTGTACAATTTTATAACCCTTATCAAATATCTTCTAGCTTCGTTTTCTTGAGTCTTGCATGGCTAATTAAGGGGAAGATCATAGATATATAAGTGAACGACATTATCCCTATTGGTAGGGGGCTTTTTGGAGAAACAAAAAATAAAACAACGAAAACTGGTGAACAATATTATCCTATTAGAAAAAGTCGTTGTTCTTGTGATTTACTCAAATTGGATTATCTCTGCTTGTATTTGACCGGAAACACGTGCTAATGGCTCTGTTTTAGGGTCAAATTTGGCATTTGATTGTGTTTTGTGCTCTGATTTTCTTTCATCATCGATTTGAGTAGGTCCATTCTTGGTTTGATCCTATTTTGTGCCACGAATTGGTCAACTCATAAGTTCAATCAGGTTAGTCGATCTTGTTAAGTTAGATTAGTTGTCCGATTCAGTTGGATCAATTTCATTTGACCAATTTTTTTGTTCCATTTTCATAGTAAGCTTCCATACCATCATTGTCAAAGTGTTGATAGCTTGAAAGTTTAGGACAGTGCAAACTATTTATTTGTCTTTCAATTAAGTTAAAACACTTTTTGGTTTGAATGACGGCTGATTTTAAATCATTTGATATATATGTATGTGGTTGCTATGTGATTAGATATATATGTACATGTGGTTGCCAAGTGATTTTCGTGTTATGAGACATCTTACATAGTCTAAAAGATTGGTATTTCAAAATGAAATTGTGGCAATAACATATCAAGACATGCTTTAATTGTACCACTAATGACATAGGCTGGTTGTCCCACATTTTTGTTCTTGGACAAAGACTCGTTGACAAGGGTTTTAAGTTTTATGGATTACGTGCATGTTAATTGGTCAAGTTTTGGGTCCAGTAAACAAGCTGGCTAACTAGTATTTATAGATCTGGATAGAGGCATAGGTTGGTTATCCTATATGGGTAGAGTCATAAGTTAGTTTGGCTCATTTACGAACGATTTTAGATTTCTCGATTTACATTATTTTGTTGTCGGGTGGTGTGCATATCAAATTCCAACCAAAGGCATTTACCAAGTATTTTCAATACTCGACTTCCAAATTATTTCTCAAGTAAGTAGAAGGATGTGTAAGGATCGTAATGAAAAGAGACTCTCGACCCTCTATTATCGTAGTAGCGGTCACGATATGAATAGTTTAAAAGAGGCTATATAAGTCCGAAATGGGAGATGGGACCAAGATGAATGACTTGCATAATTGCTATCTCTATCCTCATTTGGCTTGTCTGTTTCTTATGTTTTTGGATTATACCATTCGGAGAAGCTGGAGACCTAATTCACAAGAAAGCTGCAAAAGTGATTCCTTAATTTCCACAAACATTCATGGTACATATGCTTTGAGTCTCACCCTTTTGTGAAAAGACTATGCAAGGCGTAACACTTTACATTATTAATATACATTTGATTTGTGCTGATAAATTTAGTTGTGAGTTGATGATAAACTTAGAATTAAATGTGAGAGTAGAGTTTATTAATAGGAGTAGCTTAGAACCGACATAGTTGGTGAAACTCTGAATCACATAGAACCATTTTTATTACACATTTACGAGTTCATAATTATGGATGCAACTAAAATCTGCAAACCCAGCTAAATTCTTGAGCCTCACACACACACACACACACACACACTCCAATCTGTTTTAGAAAATGGAAGAATTAGAGGGAGAAGAATTTACCAAATTAAGAATGCTATTCCAGTAATTCTTGTTATCTTCATAGTAATCACTTGCTGCACTCCCACTTCCATTTTCAGAGTCCTCACCACCACCTCCTTCAGATTGGCTTCTTTCAACTTTGTTGTTTAGAAGAAGATTAGTGAAGCCTTCTTCAGCAATGGCTTCTTTTGTTCTTAAGGATTCAGCTGTCCATGTTGCTTCAATGGATAATGTCATATCATGAGATGTAAACGACATTGAATTCTCAAAACCCTCCTTGTATTCTGGTAATTGGCTTGAGTTTCCAAATCCCTCTTCCTTCCACTCTCTCTCACAAGAGCTTGAACTCCCCACAAACTCGATCATAGCCGCTGAATTCTCGCCCTCCCCGCACCCGGTGGCCATAACCGGCAGTACGTTCTCTGAGAAAGTCAATGTCGAGGTAGGCGACTCGAGGTCACCCCCAATACCACGGGTCAGAATGCCACCGGTTCCTTCGGCCGATTTGGACCACCCTACCAATGACATTAAAAAAAAAAAGCTAAATTTACCATAACCTATCAACTTAAACGTTCAGGTTTAAAATAGTAAAACTTTAGTACACACCGTTGTTCCAAGCTTTCAATGCCTCGAGCGAACGGGAAGCCATGGCAGCGGGCGAGTCGGAATTGGGCAAAAGCTGAGCTGAAGTGGAAGTTGAAGAGGAAGAAGGTGGAAAACAAGGAGGGTTTGGAAGTTGTTGGAGAGAAGAATGTGAGTTGTTATTACGTAGCCTTGATTCTCTAACAAGCCTTGCTTCAGCTTCCAGCCTAGCACTTTCCCACTGTGCTATGTGGCTTAAATTAGCCGCACATTTTGGCTGGCCATCACCGGTGAGCAAAGCGTCATTTTTAGGCTTGTGGGTAACTGGGTCAATCCCCATTTTAGCCAATCTTTTCTTAAGATGTGTGTTCCAGTAATTTTTAATCTCATTATCAGTTCTCTTTGGCAAGTGAGTTGCTATGGCCGACCACCTAAACATCCACACAAACAAGAGGGTTTCAAAAACAAGAGTTTGATGACAACAGCCCAGATCCACCGCTAACAGATATTGTCCTCTTTGGACTTTCCCTCAAAGCTTTAAAACGAGTCTGTTAGAAAAAGGTTTCCACACCTTTCTTATGAATGGTGGTTTGTTCTACTCACCAACCAATGTGAGGTATTACAATTTCAGACACCATTTCGTGTTGGTGAAGAAATTTAGTAGGTGTGTGTTGTGTTTGCAAAATTTCAGGTTGTCAGAAAGTGGTAATATTATTAACAATGAAGCCAAAGTTGGCATCAATATCAGTGCACCTCATTCCAAAAGATTCAAGCTTTTTGGTTCAATATTGAATGTTTTGTCATTTTTCTTCAAAAAAAGAGACCAGAACAAGACAAGACAGTAGCCCAGAACACGAGAAAATTGAAGGAGCGAGGCAAAAAAAAAAACAAAGAAAAAAAGTTGTACCTGTTGCCCAAAAGAGCATGGAGTTGAATAATGGTCTGTTCTTCTTGCAAACTGAACTTGCCTCTCTTAATATCAGGTCTAAGATAATTAATCCATCGCAGTCTACAGCTCTTGCCACATCTTTGGAGCCCTAAAGCCAAATGTTTTCAACAAACAAAGGTTCATTTGCATACATTAAAAGGAAAAAAGAAAAGGGTTCAAAAAGAAATGTTATGAAGACGAGAAAGAGACCAGCTTTAGAAGGCAAGGCACGCCAGCTTCCATGGCCATGTTCTTCGATATAAGCCAACAGCTTTTGGTCTTCTTCAGGAGTCCATGGCCCTTTCTTCAACCCCACTTTGTCACAGCAAGGTGACCTTCCCATTGGAGAGGAAGAAGATGAAGAAGAAGAAGAAGAAGAAAGAGAGTGAGTGAGTGAGTGAGGGAGTGAGTGTGGTTTGTAAATGAAGAGATGGGCAGTGGCATAAATGGGGAGAGAATTAAATGCACCTAAGCCAACACACAAAATCTCACATATGACAAACCTTTTCTTTATATATATATTTTTTTTATTAATTTATTTTTCTCTATTTTCTATTCAACCTCAACAATTATTCATTAAATTATATTATTTTTCCACTAATTTTTTTTTTAATTCGTTTATAAAAGTTGACTTTTTTTTTTTCCATCAGACGACTCAGTTGGGAATTGAGGGAGAAGAAAAAATTATGAGTGACAAATTTTCATGATTTATAGGCATAATAATGAATAATCATTTAATAATTTTCAATAATAATTGAATCCTATTCAATTGCTTTTAGTAATTATTAAGATTGAATAGATGTG